AGGGGAGGGGGTCGCGATGGGTCGGACACGACTTCGCAACTAACAACAACAACAAAGAAAGGGGGTGGGAAGGAGGGCAGAAAATCCCAGCCTGGCTGCAACAGTTGCCCCCCCCCTCCCCAGCCCTCCTGACGCCACGGACGCCCCTTCCCCTTTGCCCCACGGCTGGGGGCGGTGGGGGGGGTGTGAAGAGAAGACGTCAATGCTGCTCGGTTGATCTTTCCTGCTTCCTCCGCCTCTTCTCCGGCAGGTTACTGAATCTTTGCTAATAAGACCCCCTCCCCAATAGTTTCACTTGTTGGAATTGTAGAGAGTTTGAAAGGTGGGGGGGGGGAGAATGCAAGGAGGAGGGGGGGATAAATAAGAGGGAGGGTTGAAAGGGGGAAGATGCAAGGAGGGGATAAATAAGAGGGAGGGGAGAAGATGCAAGGAGGGGGGGTAAATTAGAGGGAGGGGCTGCTGCAGGATGGCAGCGAAGGGTCTCTGCCTCCCCCCCTTTTAGAGAGTTTATTTAAAGTGCTTCCTGGACTTTGGGAGTGGGAGATCTTGCGATGGATGTTGGTCGTGCGGTTAAACCGGAGCAGACACTCTGGTTTTAAACCGAAGTAGAACCGGTGCAAGCCCAGCGCTGGCTTAAATCTTCCCGGGGGAATCGGCTTCGCTTTTTCTCTCGCTTCCCCCCCCCCGTCGTCGGAAATATCCTCTGAATGGTACAGTCCGCTCCGTTGTTGGCTGCGGTGGGAAGGAACCAAAAGAAGGGAGCGGAGGGGGGGGGAAAACTTGGGCATCCTAAAATCAGGGTGTGCGTGATTTTTTTTGCGCGTACAGAGCGAGACACATCATATTTAAGATGAAAAAAAAAATATTTCTGAGCGAATTAAGCCCGGGGGAGGGCTTTAAATCATTTCCCTTCCCCTCTTTACGCAATGGTATAGCCTCGCTGCCCTTCTCCTCCTCCTCCTCCCCTTTCTGCAGAAAAGATGCCAAAGAAAGACGATTAATCTTTTTTTTGATTCTTGCAAAATTTGCTAATCGAGCCGGCGCCAGGACGATGGCTGTTTCCGGGAGGCTTGTTTGAGGGGGGGGGGACTCATTTCCGTTTCCTAAAAGAAAAGTAAAAAACAAAAAAAAAGCAATGGATTGCCTGTTTTGCAAAATTAGTTGGGGGCTTCAAAGGGGTGCATTTTCTGCAAGACTAGTAAAATAGGATTGGGGAGGGGGGGTCCCCTGTGCTGGCTGAGCTTTCGTGGTTTTCTTGCAGACCTCTCGTGACCAAACTAAGTAATGCCATCAGTGCAAAATGGGATTCAATGGATAAATAATAATAATAATAATAATAATAATAATAATAATAATAATAATAATAATAATAATAATAATAATAATAATAATAATTATTATTATTATTATTATTAAGAATAATAAGAATAAGAATAAGAATAATAATAAAGTTGGAAGGAACCTTGGAGGTCATCTAGTCCAACCCCCTGCTCAGGCAGGAAAGCCTATACCATTTCAGACAAGTGGCTGTCCAGTCTCTTCTTAGCAACTTCCAGTGTTGGAGCATTCACCTCTTCTGGAGGCAGGTTGTTCCACTGGTTAATCGTTCTAACTGTCAGGAAGTTTCTCCTTAATTCCAGGTTGCTTCTCTCCTTGATTAGTTTCCATCCGTTGCTTCTTGTCCTGCCTTCAGGCACTGCGGGGCCAGCTCCAAAGAAAATGTCCTATATAGAGGGGGGTATTATTGGATGCAGCAAAATTGGGAATATGCAGAGTCTGAAGCTTCTTGAAGTCTAAGACAATCTTTTTCACAAGCTTGGCCCCTTTTAAGACAAGTGGACTTCAACTCCCAGAATTCCCCAGCCAGGCACTCCGGCTGAGGAATTCTGGGAGTTGAAGTCCACAAGTCATCAAAGGGCCAAGTTTGAAGACCCCTGATTGTGGATTTCAACTCCCAGAATTCCTCAGCCGGGCACGCTGGCTGAGGAATTCTGGGAGTTGAAGTCCACAACTCATCAAAGGGCCAAGTTGGAAGACCCCTGCCCTAAAAACCACGATTCTGTACACCGAGGTTATGCAAACTGCTAAAAAGCAAGCAACGAAATTAAAGGCACAGTGTAAAAAAAATAACAATAAAATAAAGCAAAATAGTTAATTTAATACATACCAATAGGACGTGCCAGGTATCCAGGCAGGATATGTTTAAAAAAGCCAATAAAACGCCCCTTTTGGATGTCTTTTTCCCTTTTTTGTTTTTTTAAACACCGCCTGCAGTCCAAAGATTAATTCGGATGGCTTAATGCCAAATCAACCTCAATGGATTTTTTTTCCCCTCCCTTGTTGATTTTTGCCCTAATTTTTATTTGACTTTGCTCTCTACTTAATTTGCTGCCAATTTCCTGGTGCACTCAAGAAACTTTTCATCCGTTTTCAAGATAGCCAAACTCTCACTTCCTGTATTAAACCGGGCAGAATCGTCACGTTTTCTATAAAATTAACTTTTTGAATCTTTTTTCTTTTTTTTAAGGTTTTTTTAAAAAATAATGCAAGGAACTGCTTCCTCGGCTTTTTCGGGACTTGTTTATCGTTTGCAACGAAGCCAAAAAAAATTGTCGTTTTATTTTTTCCCTGTTGATTTTGCTTGTCAGAAGATCACAAAAAGGGGGAATCACGTGACACACACCCCTCCGGGACACGGCGACCGTCATAAGTACGAGCCGAGTGCCCGAATTTGGGTCACGTGGAAAATGATTGTAATGCTGTAACTTCGGTCGCTTAAATGAAGCTGTATTCCCTCTGCTTTCTGAGTATCAGCGTTGATCTCCGGCACATATTTATTTTAGATTAATAATCCTGGTTGCATCGTACAATCCGCCCATCATTTTCCGCAAATCTTTCAATTTTTTTTTTTTTTTGAGCCAATTGCGTTGCTCAAGCTTTGATTTGTTGTTACTCATCAGGACGAAAGCGAGGAATGGAAAAACCTCAAAGGAGGGGGTGAAATTCCCGAGAGAAAGTGGAATTTAGGCCCGGATTTACACTACAACCTAGCTAGCGAGAGTTTAGCTTGGCGTTCTCTCTAAACGGACCATCCTGGTTTATGGCAATGAAATAGAGCAGTCCTTCCGAAATGCCGTAAGCCAGAATGGAGATCTTTTCTAAGGGGTTTTTATTATAAAGATAGTCCTCAGTTTACAACAGTTACAACCTAGCTAGCGAGAGTTTAGCTTGGCGTTCTCTCTAAACAGACCATCCTGGTTTATGGCAATCAAACAGAGCAGTCGTTCCTAAATGCCGTAAACCAGAATGGAGATCTTTTCTAAGGGGTTTTTATTATAAAGATAGTCCTCAATTTACAACCATTCGTTTAGTCACCATCCAAAGTTGCAACAGGACGGAGAAAAAGGACTTAACGGCCCTTTTTCACGCTTTACGACCATTGCAGGTCGCGTGTATCAAAATTCGGACTGCTCGGCAACGGACTCGTATTTATGATGGTTGCGGCGTCCCGGGGTCACGCGATCTTTCTTTTGCGACCTTCAGCCAAGCCAAATGGGGAAGCCAGCTTCACTTAACGACCGGGTTACTAAGCGAAGAACGGCAGTGATTCGTTTAATGGCCGTGGCAAGAAGGGTTGTAAGGTGGAACAAAATCCGCTTACTGACTGACTCAAGAATGGAAATTTTGGGCTCAGCTGTGGACGTAAGTCGGGGACTATCTCAGATAGTCCTCGACTTACGACAGTCTGTTTAGTGACCGTTCATAGTTTACAACGGCACTGGAAAAAGGGGTGGCCGTTTTTCACACTTATGACCGTCGCAGCGTCCCCCCTCACGTGATCAAAATTCAGATGCTGGGCAGCTGACTCGCATTTACGACGGCTGCAGCATCCCTGGGGAGGGGCACCTGATCTTCCTTTTGTGACTCGTGTTTACGACGGTTGCAGCGTCCCCGGGATTCCGGACAAATAATAATAATAAAGTTGGAAGGGACCTTGGAGGTCATCTAGTCCAACCCCCTGCTTGGGCAGGAAACCCTATATACCATTTTGGACATGTTGTGACCTATTGTTCACTTAACAACCGGGTTACTATCTCAACAACTGCCGTGATTCCCTTAGCAACCGAGGGAGGAAAGACCGTAAAACAGGGCAAAAGTCACAACAATTGTCTCACTTAGCGACGGAAAATTAGGTCGTAAGTTGAAGTAAGATGTAAGGTTTTTTTAAAAATATTTGTTAGCGGCTTTGCAACTTGGCTTTCATACATGATAAAAAAATATTAAATCAATCGGGCTCCCAAAACTTTAATAATAATAATAATAAAGTTGGAAGGGACCTTGGAGGTCATCTAGTCCAACCCCCTGCTCAGGCAGGAAACCTTATCCCGTTTCAGACATATGGCTGTCCAGTCTCTTCTTAAAAACTTCCAGTGTTGGAGAAGGGAGGCAGGGAGGGAGGGAGGGAGGGAGGAAGGAAGGAAGGAAGGAAGAATAACAGAATAACAGATGGAAGGGACCTTGGAGGTCATCTAGTCCAACCCCCTGCTCAGGCAGGAAACCCTATACTGTTTCGGACAAATGGCTGTCCAGCATTCACCGCTTTTGGAGGCAGGTGGTTCCACCGGTCAACTGTTTTGTGGCAGTTCCCAGAATTCTTTGGGCTCCCTTCCGCCATCTTGCAGAGCAGGGAATCCTGGGGTTCGTAGTCCTGCCACAGCTGCCACTCCCCCAGGAAGGAAACACACCAGATCGAAATATATCCTAACCCTAACTCTAAACCGGCCGCTTTGGATGGGGGGATAAAAGGGATGGAAATGGCTTCAATCTTTTCTTTTTTCCTTTCCTCCCGCCTCAGTTTCCCCGTTGTAAAGGAAAACCAACATGGACCAAGCTGTGGAGGAAGACGCCGATCCGCCCCTGAGCCCGCCTCTCAGCCAAGGGACGTTTGAGCAGATGTGGACGTGCGAAATGGTCGACCCGTTTTGGGTGAGTGGTGACGTTCATCCTCGGCCACTTTGGTGGACTTCAATTCCCAGAATTCCCCGGTCTGAAGTCCACCCCGAGTTTGAAAAACACGGATTGATCCCATCCCTTGGTTCTCCTGAGTTGACTCCAGAAGCCGGCCCAAACGCTAACTCCACTGGGTTACAAGGTGGCTTGTCTAGCCCCCTCCCCCGAACGTGTGTCGACTTAAGCCATGATTTGTGGCTTCTTGGGCACTGAAATGCCAGGAACTGTGGCCGGCTTGTCAAAAATCCGCAGTTGGGGAAACCGTAGCCTAAAGCCGACAGGTGAAGTTCATTTTATAACATCTGGGAGGGGGCCATATACCCATCAGGCTAATTATAATATATTGATATGTTTTTTTTAGGAATTGAAGTCGATGGACTCCACCCAGCAAGCCACCATCCCCTACCTCAACTCCACGGATCAAACCAACTTTGGCTTGTCGGCTCCGCCAGTCTCGGCCGGCTCTCCGTTGGGTGCTCTGGCTGAAGGCTATCCAGGGGGAGAAGGCTTCCCCACCCTGGCCTTAACCGACTTCTCGGGGGACCCCCAGTTCCTCCCCTTAGCCCCCCCAGATTATGGGGCTGGGGAGAGCTGCCCGATCCCCCCCACGGAAGATTATCCGGGACAATTCGGCTTCAATCTGGAGTTCGAGCAGTCGGGCACCGCCAAGTCGGTCACTTACACCGTACGAAGTGGGACCAGGTTATGAGTTCAATTTGGGGGGGCGGGGGTCTTTCCTTTCCCACCCTCCCCCCCCCCAAAAAATCAGGGGGTCCTCTCGTCTCGATCGGGGACCAGGGTTAGGTCAAAAAAAGTCAAAACGGCGGCCGCCGTCGTGTCGATCCACTCCCTGCCCCTTAGGGACGGGTGAGGTCAACGGAACCTAGATTCCGCCTCTCCTGCCTGGCAATCCCTGTTTGCCACCGATCCTGGTTTGCTTTAAAAAAAAGCACAGGGTGGGCTCTCCGGGGTGTGCGTGCGTGGGGAGGGGGGGGGGCTGTCTTCAGATCTGATTTTTGTAAAAAAAAACAAAACAAAAATTGGGAGGTTTGGAAGCGCCTCGCTTCTTCGGAAGCGGGGTTCCGAGTGCGAAATCTGCCCCCTGCCGGGCGCTGCCGTGGTGCTGCAAGTGGATAGAAGGGACTGGCGGGCAAAGGTAGTCCCTGACTTACGACGGGTCGTTTCGAGTTCCAGTGACTGCTGCCTGTCTCCCCCTGCCCCCCTCAGATGCAACTGACAGGCATCTGAGAATAATAATAATAATAATAATAATAATAATAATAATAATAATAATAATAATAATAATAATAATAATGATGATGATAATAATAATAATAGAGTTCGAAGGGACCTTGGAGGTCATCTAATCCAACCCCCTGCTCAGGCAGGAAACCCTATACCATTTCAGAATAATAATAATAATAATAATAATAATAATAATAATAATAATAATAATAATAATAATAATAATGATGATGATGATGATGATGATGATAATAATAATAATAGAGTTCGAAGGGACCTTGGAGGTCATCTAATCCAACCCCCTGCTCAGGCAGGAAACCCTATACCATTTCAGAATAATAATAATAATAATAATAATAATAATAATAATAATAATAATAATAATAATAGGAAGGGACTTTGGAGGTCATCTAGTCCAACCCCCTGCTCAGGCAGGAAACCCTATACCATTTCAGAATAATAATGATAATAATAATAAAGTTGGAAGGGTCCTTGGAGGTCATCTAGTCCAACCTCCTGCTCAGGCAGGAAATGCTACACCATTTGAGACAAATGGCTGTCCAGTCTCTTCTTCAAAACCTCCAGTGTTTAAAACTTCTGGAGGTGGGTTGTTCCACTGGTTAATTGTTCTAATTGATTAATTGCTGTGTCCCACAATGACACAACCCCAACGTCAAACAACATTTTTGTTGAAAATGACCCTTCGCTTCCAATTCCCAGCAAAACAACAAACAAAAAACCACGCTGCCCAAGGAGAGTAATGGATTTGCTTAATGACCAGGTCGGTTGCTTCGCAACGGCCGCAAAATGGGTTCTTGCAGTCCTGATAAGCTACTTATCGATGTCCCGACTTAACGACTGTCGGGGTCAAGGACGGTTGTAAGTCAGGGACTGATTTGGGATTGGGAGGATAAGAATCTGGAGCACCGGGGCCCTTGCCTTTCAGCCTCTTGTGAGCCACACACCCATTTCAAGTAGTCCTCGCTTTACGACCGTTTGTTTCCAAGTTACAACGGGGCTGAAAACAGGCTGTTAGTACCGTTTTTCGCCCTTAGCGACCATTGCAGCCTCCCCGCGGTCAAAATTCAGACGCTTGGCAAACTGATTCGTACTTATGACGGTCGCAGCATCCAGTGTGCGTGTGTGTGTGTGTGTGTGACGTGGTCTCCTTTTGCAACCTTCTGAAAAGCAAACTCAAGGGGAAAAGCCAGATTCGCTTAACGACCGGGTTAATCACTTAGTGTCCACAGCGACTCGCTTAAAAATGTAGTGAGGAAGGTCGTAAAGCGGGGCATCCCTGACCTCACTTCTGTCTCGCTTAGTAGCGGAAATTGGGGGTGCGATCGCGGGCGTACGTTTGAGGACTGCCTGTACTAACTTCGCAACTGCAGTGATACGGCGAGAAAGGCCGTAAAACGGGGCGAAAGCCAACCACTGTCCTGCTTAACGGCCAAAATGTGCGGCTCCGTCGTAAGTCGAGGACTAGCTGACTTCCGCTGCCCCAAGGAAGCCCCCCTCCCCTTTTTCCTTTCTGAGGCTGTGGGGTGGGAGCTGCTTGTCCGAAGACTAAAGACCCCCCACCCATAAATCATATTTTTTTAAAAAAAATATATATCTGATTTTGCTTTGAGTTAGTCCACACTTTCTAGCTGCTGGGGCCATCCCCAGGAGACCCCCCCCCAATCACGAATACAGGTAGCCCATAACTTACAATTCCTTTAGTGACCGAAGTTACAACGGCATTGAAAAAAGTGACTTAACGACTGTTTTTCACACTTAGCGACCGTCGCGGCAAATCCCCCAGGGATCACGTGATCAAAATTCAGACTCGGGCAAACCGATTCGTCTTTATGACGGCCGCAGGGTCCCCGGGGAGGGGGGGCTCACGTGATTCCCCTTTTGGCGACCTGACCAGGGGAAGCCAGGTTCATTTAACGACCGCGTGGCTCGCTGAACAACTGCCGTGATTCGTTTAACGACGGCGGCAAAAAAAGTCGTAAGATGGGGCCAAAATTGGCAACAAAGGTCTCCCCGAGCAACGTGGCTTCGTTGTGGTCGTAAGCCGAGGACCACCAGTGTCCCCTGAATTGGATTTTAGGCACCTGTAGACCCCCCCCAAAAAAACATGACGACGGGGCGCGTGAAAACGTCCTTGGGGGCATTTTGCAGTGACCGTCGGCAGCAGCGAGAAGCTGGGACAAGGTCTTCCCCTTTCCCCTCTGCTTCCCCCCTCCCCAATTTGTACCCCATAGGATTGCAGCTTTGGGGGGGGCACCCTGTGTACCCGAACCCCCCAATTTTAACTTACCACATAGCTGGCGCCCCAATTTTCGTCACTGTGTCTTCAAGCGTGTTGATCCGCTTCTTAGGGGATCGGTCGCTTTCCTGATTCCTGGATGGGGATGATCACCCCCCCTTTTCCGTTTCCGACCTGCCCCCCCAGTGGCTGGGCTTTGAAGAAGGAGGGGTGGGCTTTGAACAAGGGGGGGTCTCGACGGAGACTCCCCTCTTCCTTCCGTCTCCCTCTGCTCCGCGCACAACGTTGCCCGTCCTGGACATGTCAGGACACGTTTCTCTGCTGAGTTTTGGCAAAGGAGTGTCCCAGATTCCTTTGGGGGGGGGTTCAAGACCACCACCCCATTTCCTGTATGTGGCGAGAGACCACTCCCCGTGCCCAGCAGCCCCCTTGCAGTGAAGGCAGAAGAGGCCAACTGCCAGCCATTGAGTTGGGAGATTTGGGTAAGGGGCTTGCTTGAAATTGGGCAGGGGGTGAAATGGAAATTGTGGTGCCCCCTCCCTCAGTCCCACCAACAATTGGTTGCAGTTCAGGGCAGGCATTTTTTTTGGGGGGGGAGTGAGTTAATATAGGGCAGGGGTCTTCCAACTTGGCCCTTTGATGACTTGTGGACTTCAACTCCCAGAATTCCTCAGCCAGGCAGGTGTATATATATATATATATACTGGTATACTGTATGCACATATATATATAGGTTTTCAAGCAAAGATTGGACAGCCAGTTGTCCAGAATGTTACAGGGTCTTTTGTTGTAGCAGAGGGCTGGACTAGAAGACCTCTAGGGTCCCCTTCCATCCCTCTGGTTTTCTTTCTTTCTTTCTTTCTTTCTTTCTTTCTTTCTTTCTTTCTTTCTTTCCTTTTTCTGTTTTTTCTTCAATCTCCTTTTTCCTCTCTCTCGCTTTCCCTATTCCTTTCTTTTTCTGTTTTTCTTCATTCTCCCTCTCTTGCTTTATACCCCTCCCTTCCTCCCTCCCTTCTTCTTAATATAGGGCAGGAGTCCCTTTTATGACTTATGGACTTCCTCAGCCAGGAATTCTGGGAGTTGAAGTCCACAAGTCATCAAAGAATCCTAATTCCCTCACGCTGGCTGGGGAATTCTGGGAATTGAAGTCCACGAGTCATAAAAGGGCAATAGTTCCCTTACGCTGGCTGGGGAATTCTGGGAATTGAAGTCAACGAGTGATAAAAGGGCCATAGTTCCCTCACGCTGGCTGAGGAATTCTGGGAATTGAAGTCCACAAGTCATCAAAGGGCCAAGTTTGAAGGCCCCTGCTTGTGGACTTCAACTCCCAGAATTCCTCAGCCAGGCATGCTGGCTGAGGAATTCTGGGAGTTGAAATCCACAATTCATACAAGGGCCAAGTTTGAAGACCCCTCCTTGTGAACTTCAGTTCCCAGAATTCCTGAGGCAGGCACACCGGCTGAGGAATTCTGGGAGTTGAGGTCCACAAGTCCTCAAAGGGCCAAGTTTGGAGACCCCTGATAAAGGGGGTTCAAAGATCCATGGAAGGCCCCTTGGGAGGGATGCAGGGAGGTCTATAAATTTAATATATTAATTAATTTAATTTAATACATACGGACAGGCCACGACTTGACCGCCACAATTGAGCCCCAAATCTCGGTTGCTAAGTTAAGGGACGCTTGCCCCGCTTTACGACTTGCCTTGCCACAGTTCTTATGGGAATCACTGCGGGCGTTAAATTAGTAATCCGGGCGTTAAGTGAATCCGGCTTTCCCCCCACTGACTTTGCTTGTCGGAAGGTCGCAAAAGGGGATCAGCTGGCGGCCCCCGGGAGGCCGCGATCATCATAAATACGAGTCATGCTAAGCGTCTAAAGGTTGATCACGTGACCCTGGGACGTCGCAACTGTCATAAATACGAGTCAGTTTCCAACTGTCTGAAATTTGGATCAGGTAACCAACAGTTGTAAGTGTGACAAACTGGTCATAAATCATTTTTTTCAATGCCATTGCAGCGTCAAACGGTCCCTAAACCGGCCGTCGTGAATCTGGGGCTCCGTATTATTGAGTTTCTGGAATTCTTTTTCACTTTTTCTCTCCTCCCCGCTAATCCCGAATTTCTCTGCTCCAGTTCTCTCCGCAACTCAACAAACTGTTTTGCCAAATGAGCAAAACTTGCAAGGTGCTGATTCGGATGTCCAGGGCGCCTCCGCCGGGCTCCGTGGTCCGGGCCATGGCTGTCTACAAGAGATCCGAACACATGTCTGAGGTGGTCAGGCGCTGCCCCCATCATGAGCGGCACCCGGAGCACAACGACGGTGAGGGAAGGGCCTGAGGGGGAAAGGGGGAGGGGGTCCTCTGAGACACGTAGGGTGGGGGCAGGCAGACTGTGATGCACGGCACTCAAAAGCTGGGGAGAGATTGCACTCTGCGCATGCTCGAAGACCTGTCTGTTTGCATGCAAGGGTGCAGAGTGCCCCCAGACCCAATTAACACCCGAGTTCCCTGTTCCGCGATCTTGTCCTCTAGTCCAGGGGTCCCCAAACCCCGGTCCATGGACTGGTACCAGGCCGTGGCATGGCAGCATCTGCTCCGCACAAACAAGCAAAGCCCCATCCGCGGGATGCAGGCAGCACACAAAACCACATACATTCCGGTCCACAGGAAAAAACCTCTCCACGGAACCGGTGGTCCCTAGTGCCCCAAAGTTTGGGAACCTCTGCATCTAGTCCTCAGCTTAACGACCACTGTTCAAAGTTAACCGCAGTGGCTTAGCTGAACGACGGCCGCCATGCACTTAACAATCGTGGCAAAAAAGGTTGTAAAACGAGGCAAAACTCACTGAACGCAGGCCTCACTTAGCTGCAGAGATTTTGGTCTCCATTGTGGCGGTTCGTCCAGGACCAGCGGTAGATGAATTGATTTTTTTTCCGAGGGAGGGGGCTCGTTAATTGGGGAAGGGGGGAACCTCCCTCCTCCAACAGGAAACTCCTGCAGCCGAAACCTAACAGGGAATCTAAACTCCCCCATTTTCTCCCCGCCCCACCCCAATTTCTGATTTTTGCACAGGCGTGATCCCCCCGGATCATCTCATCCGGGTCGAAGGAAACCCCCTGGCCCATTATCACACAGATCAGGGTACCAAGCGGCACAGCGTCCGGGTTCTTTACCAGAAGCCTCAGGTGATTGGGGGGGAACGGTGGGCAAGGGTGAAGAGGTGATTCGGGGTCCATCCCACCCTCCCTGTCTTCTCTTTCTTCATCCGATTGTCTGCTGCCTTCGTTTTCGGCCTGACAGGCAGCTGGGACGGGGGCCCCCATGGATCAAAAGGAAGCATCAACAGAGCAGACCCTCCCCCCAAATGTTTGCCATCCCCTTCCCCCAAATTAGAACATCTGTGTATGTTCAGATGCTGCACCTGGCTTAGTATATTTCTCGGTCCTGCAGGTGGGGATGGCGTGCACCATCATCCTATACAATTACATGTGTAACAGTTCGTGCATGGGCGGTATGAACCGGCGCCCCATCCTGACCGTCCTGACTTTGGAGACCGAACAGTGAGTGACCCTCTTCCTCTCCTCGTCCCCTTCCTGCCCATCTCGGTTGGGTTTCAAATGGGGAAATCGTGTTTAGAACTCAGAACCCGCCCGGCGAACAATGGACGGGATGAAATTTGGGCAGCCAGCTATCCTGTTTGTTTTAAACCACGATCCAGGCCCGATTCTGGGCGTGTTGGGCCACCAAATCGTAGAATCCTAGCTCCGGAGGGGACAGGGGAGGTCATCTAGTCCAACCACCCCTGTCCGGTGTAGGAATTCCCAGGCTGAAATTTCAGGTGTTAAGTGGTGACGGTTGTAAAATAGGTCACGCCGTGACTCCACCCAATTTCATGAGCTTTTATTTTTGCGCGGCGGTTGTTAAAGAGAACGCTGCGTTGATTAAGCGGACCCCCCAGTAAGTAAATATAAGTTTCCAGAAACAACATTGCAAATTGTACTCGTGTGATTGTGAGATGCTGCAAACAATCATGAACGAAGGTCCCAAATGTTGCAGCTACGAATCCAGGTCATAAGTCCGCTTTGGACCGTCACCAAGCGAGGACTTGCTGTGCATTAGAAGCTCAGTTGTGTATTCTACTCAGTAGAAATATCTCTGAAAGGATCATGGGTTGTGTAGTATGGGCTAGAATTTGAACCCGCTGCTTATCGGGAGGCTGTTGCGGAAACGATGATATAACATGGATGAAGTTATCCAAAAAATTCAATTATGCCTTCGAATTAAAACGGTATCCACCGTATCCATGGCAGCGATGGGGTCTCTGACTTGGCAGGTGGGGTAGAACATTTCCCTCCGTCATCCAAAAATGTCCAAGGACTGCTTTTCTCTCCTGGTAGGGGGGAGGTCCTGGGACGTCGATGTTTTGAGGTGCGGGTGTGCGCCTGCCCCGGACGAGACCGACGATCGGAGGAGCTCAGCTTCCAGCAGAAAGGAAAATCCCTGGAAAATACGAAAAAAGGTAAATTTGAAGGATGGAGGAGGAGGATTGGCAGGTAGTGGGGGCGGAGTCAAAGGAGGGATTAGCCCAGAATGCCTACGTAGACACGAACAGAGTGCAAGCTCTTTTGAATTCTGTAGACCCTTATCTAACTCTTAGCAGGCGTCAACCGTTAGATGAGAAGATTCCTGCGCATAGGCTTTCAACAATACAGCAGTTTAGTTAGAACATTCCTGTCCACAGGCTTTCAACAATAGAGCAGTTTAGTTAGAACATTCCTGCGCACAGGCTTTCAGCAATAAAGTGGTTTAATGGAGAAGATTCCTGCGCATGGGCTTTCAGCAATAAAGCTGTTTAATTGAGAAGATTCCCGCACACAAGCTTTCAGCAATAAAGCGGTTTAATTGAGAAGATTCCTGCGCAGAGGCTTTCAGCAATAAAGTGGTTTAATGGAGAAGATTCCTGCGCATGGACTTTCGGCAATAAAGCAGTTTAATTGAGAAGATTCCCGCGCACAGGCTTTCAGCAATACAGCAATTTAATCGAGAAGATTCCTGCACATAGGCTTTCAGCAATAAAGCAGTTTAATGGAGAAGATTCCTGCGCATGGGCTTTCAGCAATAAAGCAGTTTAGTTAGAACATTCCTGTGCACAGGCTTTCAGCAATAAAGCAATTTAATCAAGAAGATTCCCGTGCATAGGCTCTCAGCAATAAAGCGGTTTAATGGAGAAGATTCCCGCACATAGGCTTTCAGCAATAAAGCAGGCTGGGGAATGATCCAAGGAAATACGTACACTGGTTCCCGGGGAAGAATCTCTTTCCGCAGGCCACTGTTAATCTGAGGAACTCCCCGCCACGGGATGTTGCAAAGGTGTTCAGTTTTGATTTATTACATTTATAGCTCTCTTTTTTCCCCCCCTCCCCTTTAATTATCCGTAAGTTGTTTGATCGTGAAAACGAGAGGCGAGTTGTGAAGAGCAGACCCAGTGTTAAATTTGGAGGCTCGGGGGAGAGGGAAACGTCCTTGTGGTCTCCTTTCCTTGTCCGAAAGAGGGTGGGGCTTCAGCTGTGTGGGGGATTTCCCCCCCCTCATCCTTGCCTCTCATTTCTCCAGCTCCTTTGCAAGGCCCGCGTCCTGGCGCCAGCAGCGGCAGGCCGGTGCAAGTCGCGCCAGAAGAAGAGACGCCTGAATCTGAATCGGGGGGTACATCTGAACCCAAGGTTTACACGCTCGTTGTGAGTAGTGCCTTGGGCCTGCCTTGGCGGTTTGGGGAGAGGGTTGGGGGGGTGATCCCTGGCCCTTCGAGAGGTGGACGTTCCAGCTTTGGTGGTGGGGGGTGGCTAAAGGAGTCGGGGCCACAGGAGCAGCTTGAACCCCATGCCGACATCTGGAAGAGTCCATTTTGTTTGCAGATTCGCAACCCCAGACACTATGCGATACTAAAAGAGGTTTTAGAAGGGTTAGAGTGCAGAGACGCCTGCCAGAAGGAGAGCACGGAGGGCTGCAAGTCCGGGAAAAGGTGGGTGACGGACCCCCCCACCCCAAAAACGCCAAAGCTCTCGTTTCACGTTTGTTGCCTCCTGGGTGAATCCCATCTTTGCGGCTTGGCTGGCTGACCCGAGCTCTCTTTTCTCTCCCCCAGCGTCCTGAAGAGCCGGAAACGAGGGGCCAAGTTGACTTCGCCCCCTCCAAAGAAATTCCGGGTGAAGGATGAGAGCCAGGACTCCAATTAATGGGGTGTCACATAACACCCCCCCTCCACACCTCCCAAGTTATTATTATTTTTGTCTTTTTTATGCTTCCTTTTTCCTTCTCTGGCTCCTTTCCTTCTCGGTTTTGACTTCCAAGGTCGCTCCGTTTCCCAATCCGGCATCTTGCAGAGCCCCCGGGTTTTTTTGGGGTCCCCTTCCCCCCAACTGGCTACCACTTGCTCCCCAATCTTAGCTGGGACACCCCCCCCCCGCTCCCAGCCTTCCTCCTCCTTCTCCAGGCCTTGTGGGGGCCCCCACCTGGCTTTTCCAGAGAGAGGGTGTGGGAGAAATTTGGGGGGTCCCCATATTGCAACCCCCCCCCAAAAAGGGATGGTCAGCTTCCCTCATTTCTCCATCCCCTAAAAATTCGGCTGTTTTTAAATCCCTTTGCAATTTGGGCATCCAAACGCCCCCTCCTCCAGATTTTATGCCCCCCCAACTGCTGGGGGGGGCTTTTCTAAAGGGCCAGTTTTGGGGAGAGGGGTGGTCACGGCTGGTTCCTCGCCCCCCCCTCCTCAAATTGTCCTCTCTCTCTCTCCCTTTCTCCACCAGCCAGGATTGGCTAGTTAGTTTTGCAAGCTTGGCAGGTTTTTGAACGTGGGAGTTCCACTCCCAGAATTCCACAGAAGAGGGGCATGCTGGGAGTTGAAGCCGGGGGAATTCTAGGAGTTGCAGTCCTGATCCTTGCCAAGCTAGCAAAACGAACTAGCAAGGTCCGGCAGTTTTAAACGTATATATTACATTATCCTTGAACACAGTATTAATTTTTTTTTATTATTTTTTTGTAGATGAGTTTTTCTATTTTCTGGGTTTTTTTTATTACCTCTTTCGCTTTGCACATTCCTTTGCACATTCCTTGGAAGTTTAGTTTTTTATATATATATTGGATCCTTTCCCCTTGTTTTGTCACCCAACATTTTCTAGTGAATAAAAGGCATTTTGCCTGTACTGTTTTTCTTTAAATTTGGAGAGAAGTGGTCATTTGGTCCCTATGAACGTCGTTACTTCTAAACCGGGGCGGGGGGGGGGGGGAAGTGGAGAGGAAAAAAATGGAATTGTCCAGCAACGTCCGGCTGGACCGGACACATCAGTTCTGTTTGGCAAAATCCCCCAAATTCTGTCTTTTCATCCACACACACCCCTCCCCTTCTAGGACCTTTGGGGTGGGGAAAAGTGGGGTCTTCGGTGACTGAGCTGGCTGGGTTTCTCGTAGACGTCTCATGACCCGACTAGGTAACGTCATCAGTGCTGGGAGGGAGGGGAATTAGCTCTGTTTATATGTGAAAGATGAGGGAACTAGGACCCTTTTATGACGTGTGGACTTCAACTCCCAGAATTCCTCAGCCAGTGTGAGCGAACTATGGCCCTTTGATGACTTGTGGACTTCAACTCCCAGAATTCCTCAGCCAGCTTGCCTGGCTGAGGAATTCTGGGAGTTGAAGTCTACAAGCAGGGGTCTTCCAACTTGGCCCTTTGATGACTTGTGGACTTCAACTCCCAGAATTCCTCAGCCAGCGTGAGGGAACTAGGACCCTTTGATGACTGGTGGACTTCAACTCCCAGAATTCCTCAGCCAGCGTGAGGGAACTAGGACCTTTTTATGACTGGTGGATTTCAACTCCCAGAATTCCTCAGCCAGCGTGAGGGAACTATGACCTTTTGTGACTTGCGGACTTCAACTCCCAGAATTCCTCAGCCAACGTGAGGGAACTATGACCCTTTGATGACTGGTGCACTTCAACTCCCAGAATGCCTCAGCCAGTGTGAGGGAACTAGGACCCTTTGATGACGTGTGGACTTCAACTCCCAGAATTCCTCAGCCAGCGTGAGGGAACTAGGACCTTTTTATGACTGGTGGACTTCAACTCCCAGAATTCCTCAGCCAGCGTGAGGGAACTAGGATCCTTTTATGACGTGTGGACTTCAACTCCCAGAATTCCTCAGCCAGCGTGAGGGAACTAGGATCCTTTTATGACGTGTGGACTTCAACTCCCAGAATTCCTCAGCCAGCGTGAGGGAACTAGGATCCTTTTATGACGTGTGGACTTCAACTCCCAGAATTCCTCAGCCAGCGTGAGGGAACTAGGACCCTTTGATGACTTGTGGACTCCAACTCCCAGAATTCCTCAGCCAGGCACGCTGGCTGAGGAATTCTGGGAGTTGAAGTCCACAAATCATTAAAGGGCCAAGTTGGAAGACCCCTGATTTAATTAAGCTTTTCCCTTCATGTTCTGGTCTTGAAATATATATTGCTGCTCTTGATCAAAGAGCATTTTTTTTCCCCAGCCCAACTCTGGCACCCCTGTAAAGGAAGATGGGTAAGATGGTCCCTAAATAGCCGCCCCCCCCCCGGCTTGGCAGAGTATTATTCCAAGCTGAATTATGGGTAAAAAGACTCTTAGGATACAGGTAGTCCTCAATTTACGACTGCAATTGGCACCGCTAAACAACGCAGCCATTAAGGGAATTGCGCCTGGTGTTTACAACCTTTTTCACACGGTTGTTAAGCGAATCCAGCTTGCCCCGCTGACTTAGCTTGCAACTGGCGTAAGGACATGCCTGTTTCCAAGCAGCTGAGTGCTGATCACGTGACTGCAGGGAAGGTATAACGGTTGCAAGCCGTTTTTTTCCCAGTGCCGTTGTAACTTGGAACGGCCATTAAAGAAAACGGTCGTAAGGCGAGGACCAGCCGTAAAACGTCTCCCTTTGGCTCGTTCGATCCAGCCAACGCAACAGGTGTTGGAACTTCCATGGACCACCAGATGGCGCTGTTCCATGCAGTTTATGACTCCCCAGCTTCTTTCTATGGGATTCAAACCCTCCGGCAGGATTTGAACTCGTGGGCTGAGTCTGAATTGCCTCCCGATAGCCAGGAGGGTTAAAAAAATGCCCTGCAGGATTCAGACTGGTGTGCGAGGGGCGAAGAGAACGGGGGAAACGCGCAAAGTCCACCCGTCTTAAAGCAGGCGTGCTGGGGGATTCTGGGAAGTGTAATCCAGCCACCTTAAAGCAGTCTGGTTGGGGAATTCTGGGAAGTGTAGTCCACCCATCTTAAAGCAGGTGGCTGGGGGATTCTGGGAGTGGAAGTCCACCCATCTTAAAGCAGGCTGGGTGGGGGATTCTGGGAGTGGAAGTCCACCCCTTTTAAAGCAGTGGCTGGGGAATTCTGGGAGTTGAAGTCCACTTATCGTAAAGCAGGCTGGCTGGGGAATTCTGGGAGTTGTAGTCCACCCATCTTAAAGCAGGCTGGCTGGGGAATTCTGGGAGTTGTACACCCATCTTAAAGCAGGCTGGCTGGGGGATTCTGGGAAGTGTAGTCCACCCCTCTTAAAGCAGGCTGGCTGGGGGATTCTGGGAGTGGACGTTCATTTCTCTTAAAAGAAGCCCTGGGAACTGAACTCACACACACACACACACACACACACCCCGAGTCCAGGAAGCAGAATTTCCAGGCCGCCATCAGCCAGGTGCAGACAAGTCTCCCAAAACGCCAGATGTTTGGCTGAGGCCTGCCTGCCATGGGACCCCCCAACTCTCAGCCTTCTCCCTTGCTGGGGGGGGGGGGGGGAAGGCTCTACCTGTTTTATTCCCACCTGGCTCCAGAAGAGGGCAGCCCTGCTTGGGAGAAAGATGGAAGTCCGGCCCCTTCCCTCGAAAAGCAAAATAAAAGAGTCCTCTGAAAAGGGGGTGCGGGGTGCCAAACCCCCCCCACCACGCTCCCCCTCTCCTGGACCTTCCCTGCCAACAAAACGGGGAGGGGGAATGGTCCCCCCCCCCAAAGAGACAAGCTGAGCCACGTCTTGCCATTTTAAGTGTGGCTGCAAAGTTGACAGCAATGCTGTGGCTTTTTGCAGAGGGGGGGGGACACACAGTTGTGGGTCCAGAGAGGGGGCGGCAGTGTCTTCCTCTCCCTTCCCCCCTTCTCCCAAATCAGGCACTGCCAACTTTTTCCAGCAAAGGGGCCAAAAGCATCCCGGAAGCTGCCTCCCCCTGTGACTTTGAGGCGGAAGCCAGCCCAATTTCCGAGGACTGCCAGATGGCTGGCAGAGGTGGCATTTTCCAGAGCATGGCAGCATTTTAGGAGGGGCATTCAGAAGCCCTGGGGTCCCCCCCCCGGCCTTTGGCCAGGCCAGAATCTGGAGGATGAAAGCCCGGAGAGCAGAGAACCTAAGATGAACAGGATTGGGAGGGGGACCCTAGAGGTCTTCTAGTCCAGCCCTCTGTTCAAGCAGGAGAGACGATGCTATTTTTGGAAAAATGGCTGTCCACATTTTGCTTGAAAACTTAAAAAGGATGATAGATACATGATAGTGTTAGTTAGTTAGTTAGTTAGTTAGTTAGTTAGTTAGTTAGTTAGTTAGTTAGTTAGTTAGATAGATAGATAGATAGATAGATAGATAGATAGATAGATAGATAGATATAGATAGATAGATAGATAGATAGATGATAAAAGAAGAAAGAAAAAGAAAAAAGGAAGGAAGGAAGGAAGGAAGGAAGGAAGGAAGGAAGGAAGGAAGGAAGGAAGGAAGGAAGGAAGGAAGGGGCAGAAAGAATGAGAAAGAAAGAATAAGAAAGAGTAAGAAAAAAGGAAGGAAGGAAGGAAGGAAGAAAGAAAGAGAAGAAAAGGAAGGAAGGAAGGAAGAGGAAAAGCGAGAAAAAGAAAAGGAGAGAGAGAATGAAGAAAACAGAAAAAAAGAAGCAAGGGAGGGAGGGGAAAGCGAGAGGAAAAAGAAGGAGAGAGAATGAAGAAAAACAAAAAGGAAGGAAGGAAGGAAGGAATAGGGAAAGCAAGAGAGGAAAAAGAAGAGAGAATGAAGAAAAAACAAAGAAAAAACAAAAAGAAAGGAAAGAAAGAAAGAAAGAAAGAAAGAAAGAAAGAAAAGAAAGAACCAGAGGGATGGAAGGGGACCCTAGAGGTCTTCTAGTCCAACCCTCTGCTACAACAAAAGACCCTGTAACATTCTGGAGAACTGGCTGGCCAATCTTTGCTTGAAAACTTATATATAT